CAGGGCTCTCCGGCTTGGCACCCTTTGCCGCATATTATACGAGGGGTTTGTCGACGGTCGTTTCGCGAAATTATGCGACATAACCGACGCGCTCTCTTAACTATGTCGCGTAATTAAAACGAGTAGACACTCGGGAGACTTCTAATGGGTTATATAGAACCGCTTAACTGCACCAAATGTTGCATATCCTTCCAGCCAGCTCTATATGTACGTTCCTATAGGTAGGAGCGCATTTTACAAAACAGGTTGTAATAAACATTTCAAATTAATACGAATAGTTTTTACGGAAATTGAAAACGAAAGTGTACAACTGCCCTTTTAAATTAATAGTTGCAATTGATACTTGGCTGCTTAACGTTTTAAAATGTTCAATAATAACTTCAGTGTTGTCAGTTTTCTAAAGTTTATGCTTTAAAATGATAAGCATTAATTGAAAATTTACCCTTGAAAATACACATATACATATTTTATTTTTTCTTAATTTGTAACTATATCAAATAAAATAATTCGAAGTGGTCTGTATTCTGTCGAAACTGCCAGACGCGGATCGCGATTTCGATCTTTTTGGATCTCATCAGCGCGTCGCACACAGCTCTGATAGAACACAGACCAACTCTTAACAGCGCGTTTTAGAAAATACCACAAATGGCGCCGTAAACGCCATCTGTAGTACGATGCTACATTTTAGGATTACGTATGCTTCAACAAGGTCCATTTAAATATATGGATATCTACTTGCTGAAACGAATCCCGGCGTAGCTCACCTCAACGTGATAGGCACGTTACCTTCTTGTAACTATATGTTGCAATTCAAACTTTTACCGAAGCAACGTTATAACCGCAATTGGTTACTTTCCTGATTACTACACTATATTGTACCTGTTTGGCGTATTTCATCATCGTCTTCAAATCGATGACTGATTGGTAACGTCACACACCCATCTCCACATATCCTGATTCAATATTTATATTTCTGTAATTATTTACGAACAGTAATAAATCTAATTTACTATATGTGCTAACTGGCCCTTAATGTCAGAAAGAAAGTGCTCTACTAGCCCATCTCTCCTATTTCATATTGATTTCTCCCCCCCCCCTCTGTTCTCATTCTGTTTTCGATACTCCTTATTTCTAAACTTTTATTTTTACTATATTTTTTAGCATACTCCTACATTACCACATTTCAAGCGTTTTTTTCGACAAAAATTGAATTTATTGTTTTAAAGCTTTACTTTTTAGGGTTCCGTGCCTTAAAAGAAAAAGGGGAACCCTTACAAGATTATTTCTTCCTTGTCGGTCTATCTGTCATGACCCTTTTTCTCAGGAACGCGTGGAGGTATCAAATTGAAATTAATATCAAATACTGAGGTCCACAATCTCTTTGAGTGAAAAAACGTGATGATTTAGGGTGTTGCTTTATTGTAGTAATTCCGTATGTTTTGTAAACATTACAATAGCAGTTAATTTGTAATGGTTTTGATTAAATCTATCGTTATTCTTTTCTTTCTCGCTTTTCTGTTGATAATTCTGTAGGGAGTAATTTAGAGTTTATCTGAAAGACAATTCAAAAAATTCATACTTTGTGAATTTCAAGAAATAGGTAATTTGTCAAAACGAAGTTAATAAGTATTTTCACTTTATGTGCTTATATGTATAATACATCTATTTGCATCATATTGACAATGGGCCATGTCTATTATCTTTTAAGTGAAAGTAGAAAAAGGAGAATGTGGTAAATAAGAATTACTTAAAAAAATAATAAGAAGACTCACCCTCTAATTACCACGAAAACTTTTTGAGCGGACACGTGTTTCACCCACTTCATACGTGGGCATTATCAACGCGAGACTTCGTTGTTAAAAACATTTTGTGGTAATTAGGGGTGTCTTCTTTTTAATTTTTTAATAATATCTTTTAAATGCTGTTAAGTAGTTTTGTGTAATTCATCGTCCGTATTCATACTAATATCAAATAATTAATTCTGCATAATAATTTTGTGTCGAATCTCTCGAAACAAGAATAGGTAATCGAGATCATTGTTATCATTTTGTTCTTCCCTTCCATTAATTTATATTAATCGATTCTTTCACATCTTTTTTTTTCGTTCTATATCACTTGGTGTCTAAAACAGGCAACCATTATCGTTTCACCTCCGACACTTTCATCGTCCTTTCTTTTTTCCTCGGAATTTTCGACACGTAAATCACTCGAGTACGATGTTCCAAGTCCGTGGCAGCAGTCGCCGCATTGCATCGGCACAGGCAGTCGCGACAGGTCTGGTGGTGATTTACAGCCCTGCGGCACGTCGGAGGGTGCAACCCCGTGATAAAGGGCCTGTTGTCATGGTTACTCAGGCCGTCGCCATTCTCTCCACTCCTCCCGTTGCCTGCTTGTCTTTCTGCTGTCTCCCGACGTCGCTGTTGAAGTTTTGATTTTCTTTAGGTAGAAAGTAGTAGCAATTTTTAAAAAAAAAGTCACTTCAACTTTTATTGTGACAAAAAAGGCTGAATTACTTAAAATCGCCAAATCTGTTTAATCCAATTTTGGACAAGAGTAATAAAATGTGATTATAATTCTCATACCGCCAGCTATCAAAATTGTAACAATAGGTAAACTTCGTTCACAAGGTTATGAGGGATTCAAAATTTAAATTGGTAATTTAAACTTCTTTTCTATTGCTTAATGGAAAAAAAAAAACGAAAAACGAATCGATTTCAAAATAATTTAATTTTATTTATTAACAAAAACTAAAAGTATATATGAGGATATTAGATATATAACATTAATATACCTACAATATTTCCATAAAAAGTTCTTCGAGTTGGTTTAATGTTTGACTTTATTAGATACGGATAAATGTTTCAATCAAACTGGTATACTTAAGTAGGTATTTTACGTGATGTTTTTCAACGTTTCAAGTTTTAGAGATGTTACCTCATTACAAATAAATCATCTGGTATGGTACCGTTTAGTAAATACCTTAATGGCTTAGACAAACGATTATTTTAAAATACCGTTCGACACGCAGGCCATTGTACGATAACATTAACCCGCGAGTATATTTTCGGGATCACTACACGACAACTCATAGACCAGCAGTTCCCAAAACGTATTCCGTGGAAGGGTGACAGAGGTTCCGAGAGATACTGCCTTTTTTGTTTGGTTTTACTTTAAGATACAATAAGGCTACTTTCATACTGTGCGATAACGACACGATTTACTGCAAAGTAAATGTATTTAAAGCGAACGCTTTTACACTGAGTAAAAAAATGTCGCAAATACAAATTGTGCTTGATGCGTATATTCAATGTAACCAAATGTTCGCTTTCACACATGTCTTGTGTAGCGCCAACTTACCGTTGTCCATGGTTGCCAATACTCATTTCCGTGTATGAACGTGTATGATCGTGTATGATACGCTAGTACTGCTAACCGCGACTTGCAGCTATTAATATATCTTCTTCAAAGAAAAATACATTCAATTACAAAATAGTCGATTTAATAGAATTACTGTTTTTCGCTCCATTAGATACATACAACTAAACCAGGCAACAGTGCGAAGATAGGTATGCTCGTATTTCAACTTGGAAACAAAATAGTCGCATAATGCGAAAGCGGCGTTCCGATACGATACGATAAATCGCGTGCAGTAAATCGTGTCGTTATCGCTTTGTGTGAAAGTGGCCTAACTGATTACAATTGTTCATTGGTTCATTCCTGTTTCTTTGATTATTTTGTTTGTTTATTTTATATTATCATTATTATATCCGTATGGACCTTGTCTACTCACAAAAACCAGTCTGATTCATTTATTATAATAATTTTCACATTTACCGCAATTTTTAAATGTAGCTATTGTTATCCGAGAATGTCATTACGTCATTAGTAAGGAATGTATTGCAGTCAAGGATTTTTAAAAAAGCATGTGAAGATATGAAAAGTCAGCTTTAATCACACCTTCTACACACGGAAGTGAGATGGCTTTCGGGAGAAGAAGTTAGACAACCAATTTTTACGTCTGTCAATCATATAGAACTTTTTCATGACAAGGAATGGAATTGACTTATGTGGTTGATATATTCGGTAAACTCAACGTCTTCTATATAAAATGTGTTGAACGAAAAAGTTACGAAGGTTTTCCTCTTCTAAATAGATTACTCGAAGAAATGAACATGTATTGAACCTAAAAAAAAATGCAACGTGTAATTATACAACACGCTACTGAAGTGAAACTTCTTTAAACACACAAACATACCGGGACAGGGGTTAAGGAATTGGTTTAATGGTATAATTTGTACACTATGCTTCGCACGGGTGCAATGCTGATAGTAAATATACTATAGAATGTCCTTGTATACAACAATCACAGCTTTTTTGTCATTAGACAATACAATCCGGCCGGTACCGCCTCAACCGCTATGTCCCTGCATTTTAAGTCTGTAATATCTTAGAAAATATTCATTTAAATTACATGCTGTAAAGGGCCAGATTGACCTATATTAAATGCACAATGTATTTAAAAGTACTTAATTGGATAAGGATTAATGCTGTATTCCTTAAAATCGCTTCGTAAATAAGCCATTATTTCTCATAAAAAGTAAAGGATTAAAAATGGTTATTGTGGGTTATCCCTAAGAGATAGACATACACCATCGCGGACTTTTTTGTAGGCCTTTTTAAGGTGTGCAATACTGTAGTATATTATTTTGACCTATCTCGTAGGGTTCAGCCAGCGTTTGCAATGTAAACGCAAAAAAATGTGTTTATTTACGACATCAAATTAGAAACCTCTAAAATTATCAGTGTTTCTCTACTATATTATGCATGTATTATACATATAAACCTTCCTCGTTTGGTGCACCTTTTGTGACANAAGTTAAAGGGTGTACATTTTCTAAAAAAGACTTCGTACCGGTTTTTATGTTCTCTGTTGTACAATTGTACTTCGTAAAAAGCTTTTATTCCCTTCGGGAATGACGGACGTTATTCTTTCGTTTCAGGTCCAAACGGATGTCCACGAAGACGAGGTCGACAAACATACACCCGTTTCCAAACGTTGGAACTGGAAAAGGAATTCCATTTCAACCATTATCTGACCAGGCGGCGTCGCATAGAAATAGCCCACGCCCTCTGTCTCACAGAGAGACAGATCAAAATATGGTTCCAAAATCGACGGATGAAATTGAAAAAAGAACTGCGGGCCGTAAAAGAGATCAATGAACAGGCACGACGGGAGCGCGAAGAACAGGACCGGCTTAAGCAGCAGCAGCAAGAGAAACAACAGCAAAAAATGGAACAGCAGCAGCAACAGCAGCACCACTCCGCGTCACAACATCCGCAACATCATCACGACAATATGAAGATGGGTATCGAAAAGAGTGCATCTAGTAACGATCTCTTGAAAGCCGTGTCAAAAATACCCGCATAAAGAATTTTAATAAATAATTAGATCAGGTAGTAGATAAACTACCTAACGAAATGTCCAAAATACGTACTAGTTTTTAAAGAAGGCGGCAGGATAGCGACGTCAGCTATTAGAATAGTAGCGGACCGGCGTTGGATCCTTGCGGCTCGCCGTTCGAATATTGAACATGTACCTACTACTACGGCTCTTTTTGTGTTGCCTGTTGTACTTCTCTATACGTTGTAAATATTATTACTGATGTGTTCATATATTTAATTATACAATCGCTGCTGATGGTTCTGCTGTTGCGGTCGTTGAACGAAGATGAACAAGGAACATGGAGAAGGCCAGTGATGGATTCTTGGACACACCCTCCGTTTTGCACGGTGACTGTGTTTTTTGTTTATCTCGTAATCGGTTCCGTTTTGTGATTTTCAGTTGGACCATTTCGAAACTTTGTTGTTAGTTCGAACGCGCTAAATAGTGATGGATGACGATGATATAAAAGTGTCTCCTCGGCCGTCAACGCAGAAAGCATCAATTGAACGATTTTTATTACTCTTGTTTCATTTCGTTTAGTTTTTGTTTTTCGATCGAACTGTTATCGAGACGTGCTCTCTCTTCCCTTTTCGTTACTGCGGTTATTTTTTTATTTTTACTTAAAGTAACTACTCGCGACTGTGTCCGGTGGAGTAGTTGCCTTTTCCTCATGCAACTACGCCGTATTAACATATACGTAACTTGGTGTCAGGGTAGATTTTAAAGTAACCCGATCCGATTTAAAGTAAAAAGGGGCGTTCTACTGAGTGATTGCGACCTAGTCGATTCCATGAAAGAAAATTTTGTGAATTCATTTTCGTTGCCATTTTTCGACAAAGTTTAGAGAATCGTAATTTAAAATTTATAAGGGTGATCAAAGCATAAATAAGAATGAGAACTTACTTTCATGGAATTTTTGTCTAATAGGCAGTTCCTAACTCCAGGCTTCCAGGCAAAGCAATGTCAGCCCCCATCGCCATGGATGGCGGGGGTTGTAATTTATAATTTAATGTGTTCTTCAATTTTTTTTTTTAATTTCAGTTGAAGTTGCTTTGTCGATACAATGGCACTGAAATTAATTTATTTTAGGTACTTATTTATCATCTTCCTTATACAAGATCCCGCATTAATAACACCTGGAGTGTTTTAGATGTTCTTATGATTCAGTAATAACTATAACGAATCGTGTTGTCAATATTTTGCAGAATATTGACAACTACATCAGTGAATCACAAATTATGCTAACATTTCAAGTGTTATTCTAGTAAATGGGAGATTTTATATCAATGAGTGTAAACAAGCAAATGCCAATTTTTCACATCAACGTATAATTTAATAATTTACAATTTGTTTTTAGTTTGATTGTCAAGCAAACTACCGTCCTCGTCATTATCATCAGTTGTCTGTTTTCGATTTCCTTATTTGTAACTTTTAATCTACTAATGTGCTTGGTTGATGTGAAAATGGTAATGTCTCTTCCATTTTATTATTAGACAAAAAGTATACAGTTATTACGCCCGCGTTTAGTGAGAAAATCATGGTTTCATTTTATGAAAGTAAAAATAAATTAATTTATTCGATTACTTTCGATTAGTGATAGCTGAAGTTATTACTGCAGTACGCCTATCAATTACTATATACGTAAAATGGTACAATATTTTCTATGTAACCTTACATCCAGGTCGCCACTATTAATTATAGCAACAAATAATAAAAAAAAGATACCTAGTTTTATCGGTGTAAAAAGAGTTATACCTACCCAGATGCATATATACATAGTACATTCGTGAATATTATTATTAAATAGTAGGCGAAGAAATATTAAGTTAAAGAAGGAAGGCCTAGGATCGATAAGATTATGAATGTGACCCCCATATGTTCGACTTTAATAAGCTTTCTAAAAAATTTTATTGCTGTTTTGAGTGTTAACAGTAGGTATTTTTTGAGGATCACAATTACTTTGTCAGGAAGACGTGAACATTTATGACATTTTTATCATATCGACATATTTCATATTAGCCAGTGGAGGCAACAGTTATTTTCTTTTAGTCCCTGATACTAATGAAGAACATATTTTAGGATCTGAGTAGTACCTTCACTCCCCGACTGGAAATTAGTTCAGTGTAGGGTCCAATCCGGATTAGAATTGCCTGAAGACTGTTCAGGGATAAATCAGACTTCCTGATCCGGATATGCTTAAAAATCATCAGACCATATATGATCCGTTTAAAAGATTCATGCCGGATCCGTTTCAAAGACCTATGCTGGATTCATTTCAAAGATCCATGCCCGATCCGGCCAAATGATCAGAATTAACTTGTTTTTACATATTAGTTTGACATTAAATAATTAAATAATAATTATTTACTCACAATATTAATAATGAATTTATTGTTTGGTAAGCAATATTACCTACCATAATCAGATAAAAAAACTGAATTCTGTATTATGATCCAGTTCAGGACATCGGATACAGTCTTGCTTTAAACAACGTACCGAAACCATAAGACAATTCGCAATTTTAGATGATTAATCATATAACTGGATCAAGGGATAGGTTACTGTACTTTGGTCAGAATTTGATCGAGGGATATTATACTTTGACGAATTCCTGATCAGATCATTGGACCAACGGATATAGTACTCTACTTTGAACAGATTTTGATCAGATAGACCGATAAAGGGAAATGATACTGTACGCTGATCAGTTCCTAATCAGGTAACCAGATCATGGGATGGAGTGCTGTACTCTGATCAGGAAGGGATCAGATGACTGTATTATGGAAAATCTGATCTGGATTTGATCATAATCCGGCTTCTCTGAACTTATTTCCAGTCGCTTTTAGTAATGGAGAAATACAAACAAATTGGAACAAAATGCTAAAGATAGCCAAGTTTGATCACCAAAATAATTGTGTTCGAATGACCCTAAATGATATGAATTATAAAAATGAGTTTAAGAAACAATAAAAAAATATGAAAAAAGCTTTTTTAGAAGACTTATTAAATTCCCTGTTATGTGGGCTATTTTGGTACTGTTACCGATTCTGGCTCTTTTATTGCAAGAAGAAAAAATGTTTCGCAATGTCTCTATTTATGTTGAATTTACCGTACTGACCATTGATAACGATGTGTGATTTTTGTATTCGTAAGATTTACTTACTTGGTAAACATCATGACTAACGTCGTGAGTTTCCGTATTTTTGTTATTATTCCTGTTTAAATTTGAAGGCTGTCTGCGCGAATTTCATTCTTTATTTTGTTGCTCGATTTAAGAAAAATTTAATTCATTTCCAAATACTTTATAACTGTTAGTTGTACCTTTATAGTGGTGAATGATTGATAATTCCTTTGAAAAAGGGCCTTAAAAGTTTACCCCATATTTTACCATTAGAATTAAAAGAACAAAATTGTTTAATTGAAGGAAACTATTATATGTTTGCTTGTTGTTTTTTTAACGTAAATAAAAATGTATAAATTTGCAGATTTTGGTGAGGTTTTATTATTCTAGAAACGTTTCTTTTTTATTCAAAAAAAGTGATAATTAAATTGGTTTGTTATTAGATTTATTGTTGGTATTTAATCTTTTAAGGTCCATTTTAGAAACAACCTGCATTTCATTAATTTGTCGATTTTGCTTTTACTTAAACCGAATCGTTTAATTGGATACAGTATTTTTAGAATCTAATGTTTGCATCCTGTAGAAATATCGTGCACATTCGAATATGTAAATACTTATTGATTAACTAATGGATTGTCTGTGACAACTACACTGTAACAATTTATAAATTTAAATGAATAATAATAATAATAATTTAATAGATACGCATAGTGGAAGCCATTTCCCGTGTAGGTTTAAACTAATAGCGAGTTAAAAAATGCAGTTATTTATGTATGTAATTTGATGTAGTCTCGATACCTGTGAACTTGCCGTAAAAATAGAATAAGTTTAGATGACACTGTTACATACATACTCAAAGGGTTCCGTGTGATAGAGGTGACTGTGAATGTCATGGTTTTCCCTATTCCTTCATTCGAGTGCGCTGCCAAGAAAAAGTCAAAATTTAGTAAATTAAAATGCGAGAATTTAATTTAATAATTTATATATATCTAGGAAGAAAGAAGCTCTTTTTGTTTCGTAACATACATGCATAGTGTTTCAGTTTTTGTACTTTACTTATAAAAAATATGAATCGAAATAAAATTTGAGTTTCTTAAGGCGGTACGTAAGCTTGTAGTGGGAGTAAAAAGTGACAGTAAAATGAATCTTGTACGCCTGCGCTGTGACTCTTAGTTGTGTGCGCTTGCTCTTTCTACTTCGCGCATGTTCATTTCTCAGTAATCAGTTGTGCGCAGGTATTTTTGTCGCAGAAATGTGACATTGGTAAAATGCGCATGTGCGAATCTACCGACTGTTTTCATTAGGTATTAAAGCAAAGAAACACGACTAAACTAACATCCAAAATGCATCTGACATTTGTCCTTATCTCTGACGCGTCAGTATCTGCTCGTAATATTTTGTCTCACTCCCACTTAATTTTCTTTTTTTTGCTACCTTTAGCGTTTCACTTTGATTTATGTCACATAATGTCCTTGTGAAGGATTCGCCTCGGCCAGTAACAAATAGGTACCACATATAAGGAAAGAAATAATAATAAAAACTGAAATACTATGTCAACTAGCACATAAAATTGTTGAAAAAATATTTATAGATTACAGTCAGGTACCTATCAAAGTCCGTCCATTTTTATTTAAGATGCATACTCAATAATTATTTTTTTTTGATATTGGAAAGAAGATGCTGATATAATTTAGGATTAACCGAGTATAAGAACGAGTCTTAAATTTTGACTTTTTAATGTAAATGCTTCGCAAAAAAAAGTATGACAAAAGGTGAAATGTATGCGAAATATTAAGTGCGACTGACTGGCTTGCATGAGTGCGACTTTTAAAAAAAATTACTCGCTTTTAATGGCCCTTGAGTTATACTAAAAATAAAAATGCTTAAATACTCATTATTTTCCGTAAAAAGTAACTTCTTGTGTAACTCGTTATTTATTTCGTTAACTATATTCATAAATAGGTATGTGCTTGATTTATATTCACTAATTTTAGTTTTAGCGTTAAATTAATGCCTATTTTCTTAATCGTGCAATACTGTTGTTAGGTGGTTGATTTTTGGGGTGTTCATAGTTTTGTTGATATTAATATGATATTGTTAAATTACTAAGTCTTTGGAATATTTATAGTTTGGCTGGAGAAAAGTGCAATGATCTGTCCCTTCTTTAACGAAAGGCAGCAGAGCTAAAGAAGAGTACAAGTAAAAAGAAAATTTNAATTATTTACTCACAATATTAATAATGAATTTATTGTTTGGTAAGCAATATTACCTACCATAATCAGATAAAAAAACTGAATTCTGTATTATGATCCAGTTCAGGACATCGGATACAGTCTTGCTTTAAACAACGTACCGAAACCATAAGACAATTCGCAGTTTTAGATGATTGATCGTATAACTGGATCAAGGGATAGGCTACTGTACTTTGGTCAGAATTTGATCGAGGGATATTATACTTTGACGAATTCCTGATCAAATCATTGGACCAACGGATAGAGTACTCTACTTTGAACAGATTTTGATCAAATAGACCAATCAAGGGAAATGATACTGTATGCTGATCAGTTCCTAATCAGGTAACCAGATCATGGGATGGAGTACTGTAGTCTGATCAGGAACGGATCAGGTGACTGTGTTATGGAAAATCTGATCTGGATCTGATCATAATCCGCTTCTCTGAACTTATTTCCAGTCGCTTTTAGTAATGGAGAAATACAAACAAATTGACAAAAAATGCTAAAGATAGCCAAGTTTGATCACCAAAATAATTGTGTTCGAATGACCCTAAACGATATGAATTATAAAAATGAGTTTAAGAAACAATAAAAAAATATGAAAAAAGCTTTTTTAGAAGACTTATTAAATTCCCTGTTATGTGGGCTATTTTGGTACTGTTACCGATTCTGGCTCTTTTATTGCAAGAAGAAAAAATGTTTCGCAATGTCTCTATTTATGTTGAATTTACCGTACTGACCATTGATAACGATGTGTGATTTTTGTATTCGTAAGATTTACTTACTTGGTAAACATCATGACTAACGTCGTGAGTTTCCGTATTTTTGTTATTATTCCTGTTTAAATTTGAAGGCTGTCTGCGCGAATTTCATTCTTTATTTTGTTGCTCGATTTAAGAAAAATTTAATTCATTTCCAAATACTTTATAACTGTTAGTTGTACCTTTATAGTGGTGAATGATTGATAATTCCTTTGAAAAAGGGCCTTAAAAGTTTACCCCATATTTTACCATTAGAATTAAAAGAACAAAATTGTTTAATTGAAGGAAACTATTATATGTTTGCTTGTTGTTTTTTTAACGTAAATAAAAATGTATAAATTTGCAGATTTTGGTGAGGTTTTATTATTCTAGAAACGTTTCTTTTTTATTCAAAAAAAGTGATAATTAACTTGGTTTGTTATTAGATTTATTGTTGGTATTTNCAATGTAAGCGCCAAAAAATGTGTTTATTTACGACATCAAATTAGAAACCTCTAAAATTATCAGTGTTTCTCTACTATATTATGCATGTATTATACATATAAACCTTCCTCCTGAATTACTCTATCTATTAAAAAAACCGCATTAAAATCCGTTGCGTAGTTTTAAAGATCGAAGCATACATAGGGACAGACAGCGAGGGAAAGCATAGCAACTCGCATGAAACGAACTTACCCTACCGTGCGTAAAGAAGTTTCACTTCAAAAATCTTTAAACTTCCCAGAGGTGGGAGTTCTGCTGGTCAAAAAGAGTTCCACAAAAAACAGATTGAGAACCGCTGGTTTAGACGCATTACATCTAGAACGTCTTAGGACCTGGCTGTAATGTAGCTTTTTATTAAGCTGTGACTGTACCAGAAGAATATTTTTACGGTCTATGTTCATGACGCGTCCTCAATCAGGTTGGCAATTAGAGCCTGTAGACGCACTTAAACAAATTTGTCCGTTGACATGTAGAATGGCCGAAAATTGAAAGATTTGTTACTCGCCTTCTCTGCCACGTTTATTCTGAAAGTACAGTCAACGAGCTGTTAAGTAACATGGGATCTTCGGTTGCTTGCATACAGGTAAGGGAAATGTTCACTGAATTTCTTTGTGGGCATTTTTTTTTTTTTTCGCACGGGCGAAACTGCATAAAAGTGGACGTGTCAAATATATTTTTTTAACTACGTCTATCTGAAAATATCGCCTGAAACCCGGCGAAATCACTGTCCGATGCATCTCTAATTATCAATTTGTATGAAAAGATGACTGAAGGTATTGCTTGTATACCGCGTTGACTACAAGTCCAAACCTGGACCGGTAGTGGGAAACCATACATCGTGTTGTCAATATTAGGCTATTATAATGTTCGGCCAATTTTTACGTTCCAAGGTTTGGTAAACTAATGTTTCGCCAAGCTGTGTCCTTACTGACCAACAATGTTTTAGTCAATTAATGCTGTACCGAACTTGAGTCAACTTTTAAATAGCGAGATTTTACAGATACTTATATAATATGTATATTATAAAATTCATCAATAGATGTTGGTGCAATAAAAATCAATTATTTTGCAAAAAGGTAGCAACGCAGAATGTTATGACAAACCAGACATTTGCTATAATTGGAACAATATCGGAAAATCTTGGATAATATTGGCCAACTTGGTACGGTCGTTACTTCCTACAAGTAATATTTAAAGATATTGCCGAAAATGTGCGTAAAATGCATTTACCTATTGCTTCTTCATTCCTGTGACTACTCAAACTAAAATAGGAATTAATGAAGATTTTCTTAAACTTCGCCTGTTGTAGATTTTAAGGAGTTTCGTAATCTCTTAGGCTTCTTGTATCTTGTATTTATATATTAAATTTTGCGTAATATCTTGGTGACTTAATTCATTTATTGAAATTAAGCATTTCAACGCACAGGAATGTCAGATTTTTAATGAAAATCAATATAATTTACATTATCCTATCAGGAATTTAATGAAAACAATGCACTATGTTAAATTGAATTTATTTGCGACGTTTCGTCATTAATTGTGGTATATTAAGCACTAACAATGTTCATCTTCAATTTAAACTAATAACACGAAAAAATAATCATCAATCATCGCCCATAAAGTAAATTTTACAACTGGTGCATTATTTATTCAAGTTCCTGTAATTCCCATATCCGTTGTTAAGATTGTTGCATTAAGTACAATACCTAATATAATCCAACAGAAATAAATGAATGCAGACAGTGATAAAATAAGAATCGAGAAAAGGAAATTTGTTTGCAAATACAGACTACTATCAGAATGTATTGAATATTATTCGAGAGGTTATCGTATGTCAGCTTATTAAGCCAATTAAGAAATAATTTTGCTTCTCAATTCCACGAAATTTCTGGCCTGTTTAGCACTTAATTAAATTATAGTTATCATAAAATAAAATGCCTCGGCAAAGGCCGTCGTTATTGCAGATTAATAAAACGTATATTTGATGAATTTATGTGTTTTATTATCCATAACAACAACGTTGATTCAGCATTCAATTAAGCGAAATTGTTATTGGAAATGTTTGCTTCAAAGTATTACAGTAACATTGCAATAGTATGAACTACGTATAAAGAAAACCCCTCTAATGTGACAGGCATATTATGTTAAACCCTCGAATACCTTGAGCATGCTAATTTCCGCCCCCCATTGACTTTAAAAACTTATATTTCATCGTTGCTGTCGTTTGTATATTTTGGTACTTTTCAAAAGTTGTTTTCTGCGTTCTAATTTTTGCTGAGCTTGAACTGTAGAATATGCTAGAAATGTACCGGGTATTGATTTTGCCCAGTACCAGATAACCGGTCGCGAACAATGTCCCAAACCATAGTAAGTCTCTTTCAATAAGTCGCTTAAATACCAAATCAACGAAATTTTAATTCTTGGTTAGCGGATTTTCAACGAGATGATTGAGTTGAAATCGTTGAAGCGAGCCCATAATGATTCATCATCATAAGGTCGTTAGTCCTAGGACTGGTTGGACACTCACTTCCACTCTTTCCCATTCTGAGCTAATCATTGCATTTCCTTAAAACTAGAACATCGGCATTCTTAACTATTTGCGAACAGTAATCTAATCTAGGTCTACCTCGTTTACTCTTAACTCCTGTTTCTGCCTCTAATATGTCTTTAACTAGACCTTCATGCCTGAGAAGGTGTCCTACTAACCTATCTCCCCTATTGCTGATTGACTTCCATAGAGCCCCTCTGTTCTCCTATATTCTTTCTAATACCACTTTATTTCTAACCTCCATCCACGGTATCCTCACTTCTTTTTATTGAAGGCAACTCGACCCTGTGCTATCCTTTATATCCCTATTACTCTTTCCGACATAACTTATCTGACTTCGTAATGGTTGTGGACATTAAAAATGTCTGAAAGATGACAAAATGATATTAATAAGTTATCGTTAATCAAACAAAAATTTCTTATTTCTTTAAACAACAGTGATATTTCATTAATAGTAGGTATGTATATTTGTACCTCTTCTAATGAGAATGTATTAGTTTGTAATGTTTCATATTTTCATAGAAATATGTAACTTTCCTAATTATAGAAGTTTATAACATATTAAATAGGTAAGACAATTTTTATTTATGTCGCGCAAAAATGCATAATTTGGGTAAGGTGTGGTAAATGTTCTTTTAACCATGCACGTCTATCTGAATATATCACCTGCCACTTTAAAAATTGTCCTAAACCAACCGAATTCTCAAAATCTTTTGAGAAAAGCGTAGGTAACCTCTCAAAAGTTATGAATTTTAAATTATTTTATGATTTATATGAAAAGGCGGTTTTTGATGATGGTTGCATATTGTAATAGAATATCTATGTTCGGTTGTCAACTTCCCACTTGAAAAATAAATCGATAATGTGAACAGTTTTGTTGATTTTCTCAGTTAACACTATGACGTTTCTGTTGTATTAATCGGTGTTAGTTGAACTAGTCGGACCTTCTAAACTTTCTTGTGGCTTTTGCTTATTACTCCTGTAATTTTCATTTATATATTGAATTTTCAAATTAAATTAACTAAAGTAGGGATCTCACCTAATCATCATTTACTAATATAACAGATATTTTAAATAAAAACACTAGAAGAATTTTGACACTAATAGGAATGAACTAGTTACACCATAGGTAGAGATGTATTCGGTCATGTTTTTTTCCGTAATTTATAAACAGTAATTGTAAGGGAGAATAAGAAAATATTTAAATTGCGCGCCCTTAATCACCAATCGATTGATATAACTAGACCACCAGTGACACTATAACAATATGATAGACCGATTGGTTTATACATCTATTGTCAATTTAACATTTTTCCAGTAAAGAATGAACATTATCTAAAATAAATAGTGGCTTCTATTATCCAGGGTAATGAGAATCATTTAACATATGCATTTATTTGTTTGATTGCGAATTTGATCTAGTTTAATTTTATTAGAAAAATAACATTTAATAACTTATTAAAACTTTAAAATAGCTATAGACCTTCTACATATTCACATTCGTAGAAGAAATTGAGAGGATTTTACTACAAGTTTCTGTTTTACTTTACTGATATTATATTTGAATTACAATTGCAAGGATATTATTATTCCCAGTGCAAATTCAAAGTACATTTGGGCAGAATTTGCCTTAATATTTTGTTGTTTATGCATATTTAAGATCTAAAAGTTAAGAGAGATCCCAAAATTTGCAATCCAAACAACTACGTAAAAGTAAGTATTTCATTGACGAATTGATGTTTGGTTCATTTATCCAATATTGATTATTTACGGAGATATGTGTGTATGAGCTCTTTAATTTCGTTCAATTTTCGTTGCATTCTTGCTGCTGAGTTTACTCTTTCTTTTTTTTTACCTGAAATGATTATTTATTGCCTTTCTACTCTCATTCGACCGGACAATTCAAGAGAAAGCGGTCCGATATGAATGGGTAACAAATGGATCAGCACGAAGTGACGATCTTTGTTTTCAAAAGGGTTTCAAGCGGCTATAAAAAAGAAAGTTGTGCCTTTTTTACGACTTTAAAAGGGCAAATAGCTTTCTAACACAAAACGACCATAAATTACGAACTCCTTTTACAAAATTTAGTAAAAAACGCCAGAAATGTTTTCGTCTAAATTAGAACTGCAAAAACTCGAATGTTTATGGTATTTATTAGAGTCGATGCTTCTAAATTGTGGACAATTCTTGAAACTTTTGTAAATGAATTTGTATCACCGCACCGATAGGGTTTTCTCATTTAATTGAAAGAATATGAAATATTTCCAGTTATTCCAAAGTGCATGGCACTTATCCACATTTACTTTTAGTATGGTAAACTATATCTACTAATTGTAGAAACCATTTATTGTTGTGACTGCTGCTTTATAGACGCGTATAAACAAGTTAATTGAAACGTTACAGTTATCCTATTTCATTAGACTTGTGCTAAAACTAGAACTAGTTTAGAAAGTTGCTCGCAGCTGTTGTTATTTATTACAAGAGTGACTATTTTAGTAAGTTAAAGGGTGTACATTTTCTAAAAAAGACTTCGTACCGGTTTTTATGTTCTCTGTTGTACAATTGTACTTCGTAAAAAGCTTTTATTCCCTTCGGGAATGACGGACGTTATTCTTTCGTTTCAGGTCCAAACGGATGTCCACGAAGACGAGGTCGACAAACATACACCCGTTTCCAAACGTTGGAACTGGAAAAGGAATTCCATTTCAACCATTATCTGACCAGGCGGCGTCGCATAGAAATAGCCCACGCCCTCTGTCTCACAGAGAGACAGATCAAAATATGGTTCCAAAATCGACGGATGAAATTGAAAAAAGAACTGCGGGCCGTAAAAGAGATCAATGAACAGGCACGACGGGAGCGCGAAGAACAGGACCGGCTTAAGCAGCAGCAGCAAGAGAAACAACAGCAAAAAATGGAACAGCAGCAGCAACAGCAGCACCACTCCGCGTCACAACATCCGCAACATCATCACGACAATATGAAGATGGGTATCGAAAAGAGTGCATCTAGTAACGATCTCTTGAAAGCCGTGTCAAAAATACCCGCATAAAGAATTTTAATAAATAATTAGATCAGGTAGTAGATAAACTACCTAACGAAATGTCCAAAATACGTACTAGTTTTTAAAGAAGGCGGCAGGATAGCGACGTCAGCTATTAGAATAGTAGCGGACCGGCGTTGGATCCTTGCGGCTCGCCGTTCGAATATTGAACATGTACCTACTACTACGGCTCTTTTTGTGTTGCCTGTTGTACTTCTCTATACGTTGTAAATATTATTACTGATGTGTTCATATATTTAATTATACAATCGCTGCTGATGGTTCTGCTGTTGCGGTCGTTGAACGAAGATGAACAAGGAACATGGAGAAGGCCAGTGATGGATTCTTGGACACACCCTCCGTTTTGCACGGTGACTGTGTTTTTTGTTTATCTCGTAATCGGTTCCGTTTTGTGATTTTCAGTTGGACCATTTCGAAACTTTGTTGTTAGTTCGAACGCGCTAAATAGTGATGGATGACGATGATATAAAAGTGTCTCCTCGGCCGTCAACGCAGAAAGCATCAATTGAACGATTTTTATTACTCTTGTTTCATTTCGTTTAGTTTTTGTTTTTCGATCGAACTGTTATCGAGACGTGCTCTCTCTTCCCTTTTCGTTACTGCGGTTATTTTTTTATTTTTACTTAAAGTAACTACTCGCGACTGTGTCCGGTGGAGTAGTTGCCTTTTCCTCATGCAACTACGCCGTATTAACATATACGTAACTTGGTGTCAGGGTAGATTTTAAAGTAACCCGATCCGATTTAAAGTAAAAAGGGGCGTTCTACTGAGTGATTGCGACCTAGTCGATTCCATGAAAGAAAATTTTGTGAATTCATTTTCGTTGCCATTTTTCGACAAAGTTTAGAGAATCGTAATTTAAAATTTATAAGGGTGATCAAAGCATAAATAAGAATGAGAACTTACTTTCATGGAATTTTTGTCTAATAGGCAGTTCCTAACTCCAGGCTTCCAGGCAAAGCAATGTCAGCCCCCATCGCCATGGATGGCGGGGGTTGTAATTTATAATTTAATGTGTTCTTCAATTTTTTTTTTTAATTTCAGTTGAAGTTGCTTTGTCGATACAATGGCACTGAAATTAATTTATTTTAGGTACTTATTTATCATCTTCCTTATACAAGATCCCGCATTAATAACACCTGGAGTGTTTTAGATGTTCTTATGATTCAGTAATAACTATAACGAATCGTGTTGTCAATATTTTGCAGAATATTGACAACTACATCAGTGAATCACAAATTATGCTAACATTTCAAGTGTTATTCTAGTAAATGGGAGATTTTATATCAATGAGTGTAAACAAGCAAATGCCAATTTTTCACATCAACGTATAATTTAATAATTTACAATTTGTTTTTAGTTTGATTGTCAAGCAAACTACCGTCCTCGTCATTATCATCAGTTGTCTGTTTTCGATTTCCTTATTTGTAACTTTTAATCTACTAATGTGCTTGGTTGATGTGAAAATGGTAATGTCTCTTCCATTTTATTATTAGACAAAAAGTATACAGTTATTACGCCCGCGTTTAGTGAGAAAATCATGGTTTCATTTTATGAAAGTAAAAATAAATTAATTTATTCGATTACTTTCGATTAGTAATAGCTGAAGTTATTACTGCAGTACGCCTATCAATTACTATATACGTAAAATGGTACAATATTTTCTATGTAACCTTACATCCAGGTCGCCACTATTAATTATAGCAACAAATAATAAAAAAAAGATACCTAGTTTTATCGGTGTAAAAAGAGTTATACCTACCCAGATACATATATACATAGTACATTCGTGAATATTATTATTAAATAGTAGGCGAAGAAATATTAAGTTAAAGAAGGAAGGCCTAGGATCGATAAGATTATGAATGTGACCCCCATATGTTCGACTTTAATAAGCTTTCTAAAAAATTTTATTGCTGTTTTGAGTGTTAACAGTAGGTATTTTTATTTATTAACAA